TACCACCAACATACCACACAGATCTTGAGAAATTATTCCCACAATTTGCTGGGAATCAGAAGAGGCATAGAAAAGGAGAGGCAATCCTGGACAACAAAGGTAAGGCAGGAGGCGTTATAATCCCTGACTTGAAATTATACCACAAGGCTACTATGATAAAATCAGCAAGGCATTGGCAAAAATAAACCTGAACACTAATGGAATAGATTGAAAGATGCATGTGAAACTACAAACACACTCAGCCTCTTATCTTTGACAAAGGTACAAACATGTTTACTGGAAGAAAGATAGCCAATATAAGAATGATGTGAGAAGAAATTCTTCCTAAAGAACAAAATACTGATCTTCAAATCCCAGGTACTTCAAAAATTTCCTTCAATGTGCTTAAGTTACATTTTTCACATTATATTTTTATGTAGATGTTTGCTACCCAATGCAACCATAATTGTCAAGGACTTGGAGAAACTGATGAATAATAAATACATAAATCACACAGTCCCTTATACCTTTGAGATATAATGATATTTGGAGAGTCAGTAGAATAATTCCCCATTGTGTCGACCCTTAGCATGCCTAGGAACACTTTTATTTATTATTATTTTTTTAAATTAGAATACTGGAAGGGCTGCTTTCCCGACCATGGCCCTGTGCCAGCCTGCCTGGACTTAGCCACTAAAGTCTAGGTCCCTCTGGAATTTCCTGAGAGAAAATAGAAGCAGACTGCAGACAACCTCCGTACAAAGATGGCCTGGATTCCTGCGATCTCAGAGTGTCGACACAGGGGTCACTGCTGAGGAGTACAGGGACAAGAGGCGAGTGAGTGGACTGGAAAATGTGCAGAGGGGACCACCCAAAACTATGGGTTTGTCTTTGTTACACTTATGAGAATATGGTCCACCTTATCATCTAGTGGAAGGAGGTAAGGATCATATTCTAAATGTATTTTTAAAAATTCTTCACATGAAGTTCAGATTCTTAAAATAGTGCTTCAAATATTTTGTAACAAAAACTCATTTGATAAAATGTTTGAATAAGCAGTTTTTTAAAATGTAGAAGTTTAATGTAAATAGTTAAAAACATTAGATAACATGTGCAGACAAAAGATGAATAGATGGAAAGATGAAAGACTATTAATTATTATCTGCTAGATAAAATGAAAATGACACTTGAGAACTTAATTATAAGATATAATTTAAAACATGAGTTTGGTTTATTATTAAAATTAAAATGATTGGCTTCAGGGAGATTGCTCGGTGGCATAAGTGCTAGCCTGGCAAGTGCAAGATCCTGAGTTCAACCTCAGGTACAAAATAAAATAAAATAAAACTGCCATACAATTGTAGAAAAGCTAAGTGTGATTCTTGACAGGCAAAGTGAATTGATAATGCACACACAATGACTGATATTACCTATAAACTAATTTCCTGGATTTATAGTAATACTGCACTATATTTAAATGATCTTCTTCTTGAAGTTATTGTTACTTTAAAGAAGATAAGGGTAGTGTATTATAAAATATGTATCAAAATTGTATAAACAGAATTCATATTGGAAAATCAGAAGCACTAAAATATCTTGAAGGAGTTGTGATCTGTACAGAAAGCATCATGTTCGAAGAATAATCACTGTTCACTAACGGCGAGCAGTTGTACCATGTGTCAATCAGGAACTGAGATGTCTGCAGTACCTGTGCTGGCTCCTCGATGAACATAAACACCATGTGTGCACTCCAAACACGAGTAAATAACAATGAATGAAATTGATGCATATTTAAAAATGAAGACTCTATAACATGTTACATAAGCTAGTTAACACAAAGTTATAATTTCAACCATACGAATAATACTAAGCAAGTACATGATCTGTACAAACAGGTGCAATTCCCTGGAATTTTCTCTGCTGGTCATGAGATTGCCGTCTGAATTGAAATCTTGGCATAAATAATCCAATCATTTTAGTAAATGTAAGAGTGTATTGGAGTTACAATCTAAAATTTTAGTAAATTTAAAATGAAGTGGCTACAGTATAACAGCTTTCCTTGGGATATTAACTTATGCACCTGCCGCTGGGCAAACAGGAAGCAGAGGACATTCTTATGCCACTCAGTGAGTCAGAGGACAGTGCACTCTGCTTGCGTTCCTTTGAAAGGTGCAGAAGGAGCCAACATTGGCGGGTCCACTTCCTCACGCAGTGCAGTGGAACAGAGACTCCTTATCTCGCTTGGACTTTTGGTGCACTTTTGTCAGAGTCCATCATCATGAAGCTCAAAGTAGATTTAGTGTTTCATGCCTGTTCTATCTGCACACGTAAATCTTCTCACTATGACATCATTTTCATGTAGATATTGTTGAAATCTACACAATGAAACTTTTACACCAACTCTTTTGTAAAAAGTTGTTGCTTTTCATTTTAAATACAGTAAATAGCATATTTAAATATATTATATTTAACATGAAGAACTAATGGGTAAGATTACCAGTATGTGGGTCAGCAGGATATTTTCTACATTTATAAACTGTTTATTGAAAATAAGTCAGATAGTCATAGAAATAGTGTTTCAATTTTTCATCTTTTTATACTGTGTCTAGACATAATGCTTCATGTAGTTAGCATTAACAGTTTATTTTCCTTATTTCCTGTATGATCACCTGAAATGTTAGTTAATAAGAGTAATGACTATGTTAGCAACTCTTAATAACTCTTAAATGTTAAATAGAAATCTTCACACAAAAATTGGCAAAAAATATCCATGAAAAATATAGGGAAGATACATAGAGGAATAAAAAGATACTATAGTACTTATGCTAAAGATGGGAATGCTGACGATAAAACTGCAAAGGCCAGAGCGGTTGGTGATGGGCCCTGCAGGTTGTCCTGGAAACACTTTTCCTGGGAGCCAGTGGGCTGCATGCTCTCGGGAGCAGCGCTGCTCTGGTTACAGGTCTGTGTGGCTGCTCCCTGATAGGTGATCTTAGAAAGAGTTTACAAAGGTGCGGCCCTGGGGTTCTTGCAGAGCTTGAGGAAGCAGCCATCAAGGTGCATTTAAACCATGGGGAAAGGATTTGTGGGCTTTTGTTTTGTGAGTCTTACGTTCTGGTAAAAGCCTATCCTTAATTGTTTCACTGTGTTTCTAGCAAAGCAACTATAAATAATCTTTGGCACATATGAAGTTTTGAAAATAGTAAGTTCTGAAAAGTCTC